TGGTCCTATTCAGAACTACAGAGCCATGTACCCACCAGAATCACATGTGACTGTCACTGCCCAGAACTCCCTGCAGTATCTCAGACAAACCTCTACACAAGAGATACCAAGGGGCCACAGAAAGAACAATAGGCCTGGAGTCAGGAGATGTAGCTCTGATGCAAATTCCACAAAGGACAAGCTATGACCTTGAGCAACTTACTACATTTTTCTGGCCTTTAGTTTCTTTATCTGTAAAATCAAACTGCAGCACTGGATCAGAGAGACAGAAAAATCTGTGACCTTTGGAGCTGGGTATTTGCCACACTTTGGTGATAGTTATATGAAACATACAACATGAATCCCTTAAATTCTACACAGGATTTTCAATGACTAGCTCTTTAAAAAACAACACTGCTTTCATACTGAGGGGCAGGAGTCCCCAGGAGAAGGAAATAAATTACAAGCAGCTCTCTGACAGCTGAGCAGTAACAGCAGGAATTGGCAAAACTTTCCTTCCTTTAGGATGGGTGTTCACTCTTTACTGCTCTAATCATTTTTTGGTTTTCCTGACATCAGCACATTTTCAAAACCTAAAGGTCAATGAGGCTTTCCGTTAAAGGGCTCTTACGCAGTGCTCAGAAAGTTGGAGAATGCCCTTGAAAGTCATTCCCTGTGTGGACTGCATGAGCAGCCCGAGCAGTGATTAACATCTTCCCAGGGCTCGGCCACGTGGCTGACTGTGCGAAGACCCCTTCCAGCCATGGTCAGTGTCCAGAAGCGGGCCACAGACTCGGTTCCTTCACCTACCACTTTCTTTCTGAAACCCTAGGATTCTCCCATCTGCTCTGTAGTCTGGAGTCCCTTCAGAGACAACTCACATAGTGCTCTGAGCACAGTGGTTCGTATTTCAAACTTGTGGTCAAAATTGCAGTATTTTTTTCAAAATATGGATTTTCTTCTGTAGAATGAAACACTGGGCTTTTTATTTTTTACTCTTACACATGGAAAAAAAGTCTCAGTTCTCTTGCTAACTTTGGGGTCTCAACCATATCCTGACAGTCCTCTTCAGCTGATCACCCCTCCCTAACACTGGAGTGTGTTCTAGAGAATATTTAACCTTCCACCACTGCTGTCCACACCACCGAAGAGCATCTGCTCAGGAGCCCTCACAAGCTGTTTCACCCTCCTCCCCCGAAAACCTACCAACCTTCTTCAGGAAAGGCACTAATGTTTGTAGAGCAGTTTACATAGCACACACACACACACACACACACACACACACGCACACAAGCGCACACGCACACACACACACACACACGCACACACGCGCACACGCACACACTACTCCCTTGATAATCTAGCCTCCTCCTGGAAAAACCCAATCAGGGAACCCTACCCAGGCAGGCGTGACTCCTAAAGCAGATGGCAAGCCTCATACATAAGTAGGTCATTACATAATACCTCTTCTCTAACCAGCCTTCCTATACTTCATTCCGACACTCCAGGTTGACGAGCTTTACACTGTGGTTACTTTAATTATAATTTGCTCTTGGGAATAGAGTAATACCATGCTTTGATTAAAAAAAAAAAGAAAGGAAGGAAGAAAGAAACTGGGTGAGAGAACGGAGAAGTGGGAGTCAGAAGGTTGCTTTTGCCTTCGGTTTTGAGTAATCCAAACTTGTACTGCTAACATCTCTTCATGCCTTGGTTTCTCAACCTGTCAGAGACTCAAGCCAATCCCCTGTTGCACTGGTTGCCTTACATGACACTCCTAAACACTGCATAACGTGGTTTGACTTCTAAAGGATACTAAACTTTGAGCTATCCTGTTGAGCTCTCAGCAATTCACCACTGAAGCGAACTTTGCACAAGACATGCCTGCATGAATACAGACAGCTGCTGCTGTCAGCAAGGACTCCATGTCACCATCAAATCAGGCTCAGTCTTTGATCTTTTTCAATCTCAAACTCCAGACACTCCATAAACCTCACCTACTTCCATCAAGATCTCAGCTCCAGTCCCAATACAGGCTTTCCAGTCTGGTCCTACTTTTAGAGCAAGCCATACTCCAAAATGTCACCATTCCCTTCACCAAACACCAAAACCTCTTCATTTTTAGGGAACACTGGCTCTCATTTCTATAGCTGTATAGATGGTTAAGACTGTTGTCTTCAGTTTTCAAAAATCATTCATGTATATATTCCCACTTCCTCACTATAATAAACCTGAATTATAATTCTATAAATTAAAAACTGAGGCTCCTGTGTAAGTATTACCAAAAAAAGATACCTAAAAATTCAAGCTATAGTTTAGGATTAAAAGAAGACTATTCTATTAAAAAGAGAGATTAGTGATCTCCACCTGGCATACTACAAAATGAGAAATAACTCCTGAGCTGAAGGCCCACGCCTCTGTGCCATTCTTCACTCCCCTAGAACTTCGACTTAACATTTATATTTTGCTCACCCTAAGTACCCCAAATTCTTACACCGGCCCAGGACAGTAGCTACGGTGGACACTGGCTCCCCTAGACTGGCAGCCTTCATTGTAACTCTGACTACAATCTCTAGCACTACCCTCTAAATGTCTCTCCTGCCTTGGCAAAGCCAAGCCTGAAGCTCCAAAACCCACTAGAGGCCAAAGTTAAGAGCTATGTGCCCCCAAATGATGTTTGGACTGGACCAAAAGCTTTACATATCATGTGGTACGACAACAACAAGAAAAAGGATGACCTTCAGGTCAGAAGATTCCAGGGTTTGATTCCTAACAATAACACTTACTTGTTTGCGTAATCTTGAAAAAGTGTTAACTTCTCTAAACATCAGTTATCCATATTTTGCAGATACAGAAGTTTTCATAGCCAAGGCTACTGAGAAGCACTAAAAAAAAAATTAAACTTACCAAAAAAAGAGCCTAGCACAGTGCTAGACAAACAACACATCCCTTCCAGCACCATCCTCAGCAGAATTGGTAGGAAGTGTTCCTGCCCTCTGCACATCACTGCCCTGAGGGGTCTGGGAAAAGCACAGAAAAGAACTCAGTGCAGCCTACAAAAACATCGTGGGATGGGCCAGAGGATTGTGAACTCATTAGAAAGCATAGCAAGGAGACCAGGGTGACCACCAGCAGGGCAGGCTTTGTCAAAGAGCCACATTTCTAAAATAATCACTGTATAGCTTTTCAGGCCTTTTCCAGGTGAGATGCTTTAAAATGAACTAAGAACAAAGCAGTCGACTGCAAAGCCTTGGGCCTATGAACCTAAGGCAAAGTGGGTGGCTGAATACCAGACTGGTAATGAGGCAGAAAGGCAGGCAGGAGACTTCTGGCTTGGGGAAGCTGCGGGCCTTGGAGGAGGCTTACCACAGTGGGAACAGGAAGTGCTTACACAGCTTGGGGGGGGATCTCAAAGAGGGGCTGGCAATGATAATATTCAAAGGCTTAAGAACACAAAAGAAGTTGGGAAATCTAGGTTCCAATTGTGACTCTGACCAACTATATGATCTTGGGCTAGAAACTCTTCAAAGGCAGTTGAAAAGTAATTTTTCTTTGCATTTCTCTATCACCTAGCAGAGCAGTCAATCCTGAGTTAAGTATTGAATGAAAGAAAGCCTGGTACTGGATGGAGTTCTTTGGGCCTCAGTTTCCTCTCATATATGAGAAAGACTTTGGAAATCTTACGTCTAGAGCCACTCATGCCAGGGTTCATACTCATTCTGCTGTTTCTTACATATAGACAGTTTCTTACTCCTAATAGCACATCAGAATCACCGTAGTTTTTCTGGTTATTGTTTGTTTGCTTGATTGAAAGGCAGCTGTCCCAGGGCCCCATCTAAAACCTACTAGGCCCCCATCCAAAACCCACAGGTCTCAGAATCCCTAGCAGGGTAGGTTTAGTTTTGTAAAAGTTCTGTATAGGTGATCCTAACAGACAGCTGATGATAAAAACCGATGTGCCATCTTTTGAAATACTGCAAATGTTATGGAGGACAATGAGGTCAAGTCCTTCTTCTCCACCTCCTGCTTTTTGGCCAAAGCCATCAGCCTTTGTTTCTCAAAACAAACCAGGCTATGGAGTTACATCAGGATTCAGATGCCAGTGCAGATACTTGGGAGTAACTTACACCATGAGCAATTGTTACCCACTTCATATGCATGTGGTAAAGTTCATGTAAGAGAGCATCATAAAGCACCTGACACATGTTCAAACCCAGAAGCTCTTTAAACGCTCACCCCTATATCCCTATGCCTCTGACATCACCTGCATCCTTAGAAAACCTCTGGTTACAGGAACTTTTGCTGACATGTGACACACTCCGCTTGTAGTGTCTGTCATGGGCTTCAGCTTCCCCACTTCTCATACTAGGAAGGAAGATTAGACCTGTCTTCTTCACTAATGACTTTCTGTATGCTACAGTGTTAAAATTAAAAAAAAAAAAAAAAAAAAAAAAACAGTAGAAAACGGCTTCGGGTTATGCAAGTATCCAGAAATCCTACCCTTTGAGTGATCAAACCAGGCCTTGTGCTGGGTAGCCATGACATCTGAGTGCATCTGAAACCATCCCTGGGTGCTGTGCTAACCACATCAATGTGATACTCTCCAGTTCTTACATTTGTTTTACAATTGCTACCACGACCACATACTTCTTTCCTCCATGGAGGTTTTTATAATGTTTAATCAAACAGACTGGCCTTACTGAGTTCTTCTGTATTATTTATTTTATCAAATGGCACACCTGATCTGTGGATCAAGGTTTACTATGGTTAAGACGATCCCAGTACATTATTATGTGGGACAATATTTTATAAGGAGCTCAATCTGAATCATCCAACAGACTAAATGAAAGAACTGCTATCAAAAAGACAGCTTCTGATTTTCAAAAGAACTTTCACTGTGATTTCGATGCCATTTGGAAAAGATAGAATCTGTTTTGAGAGACAAACAATATGCTCACAGGGTTGGCATGAAGTCAGTCTTCTTTCACAGCCTGATCACAAAGGCATTGCTAGTGTCAGCTGGGGTTGAGGGGCACAGTACAGATGAGAAAACAGGATTCCTGTTCTGATTCACTGCATTCCTTGTTCGGAGCCTGGGCAGAGATACGCCTAATTCGTCAGAATCGAACAGTTCTCAGACCAGACAAGATGTTAACACCAACGCAAACAGTCAAAGTCAGATGAGCAGCGAAGTGTACCCTGCGCAGGAGTGAGAACAGAATGCATGATGACACTGGTAGTGGTCAAGACACTGGCATGAGAGTCAGGACCTAGAAAGATCAGCAGAAAAGGAGTCTTACGGGCAGGCAGGAAGCAGAATACAGGTAGTGCGGCAACTAAAAGAAGGGAAAGGAGTGCCGGGTCTGAGAAGCTGAAATAAGCGTACTGAAAGCAAGGAGCAACGCCCAGGCAGAACGCCTGAGCATTCAGGAACAGAGCAGTTCCAGTGGGTCGGGCAGCTCAGGCACAGGGAACTTAGCAGCAGCCAATTGTGTCAAGGAAACTTTCACTGTTATCTCCACTGAAGAAAACCAAGCAACAAGATCAAAAGAAAACAATATGATCCAATTGGCTCTTATAAAAATAATCCACAGAAGCTAGCTCTGCCAGGTCAGGGGAATAAGCCAAAAGAACTCTGTATGTCTCTGCTCAACGTGTGGACAGCCAACCACAGAAGCCAGGCATGAGGACAAGCCCAGAGCTTCATCTCCTTTCCATGAGCTGAGTCAAAAACAAGGCTCTTGTCTTCTTGCACCAGCCCAGCACACCATGTCTTTCTCCGCAGTTTCTATGCTGGATGGGCCACGTAACCTCCTGGTCCCTTCACATAAAGAGCAAAGGCGAAGAGGCAGACTGGCGTGGGGAGCCTGCTCCAGGAACATCCAGTTTTCGCAGGTATTACCACACAGCTTTATGAGTAGCAGAAAAACTGCAAAGAATTTAAACAGAGGACCCTGGGGACGGTGGGCAGTAAAGACGCTTGAGAACAGGGGAGAGCACACATTCTAAGGCGGCTGTAGAGAGATGAGTGTCTAACAGTCTCTGTGCTCTGAACCCACTCCAGCCTGCCCTTCCGCAGTGCCTGTCCTTCCCGGAGGACGGAGCCAGGGCAGGAGTGATTCAGCATAAGCCAGCCCTGCTAACCTTGTCCACAGCCTACTTAATATAGCACACTTAGATGTCTCAACACTACAGTGGCAACACTAGATACTGCACACTGCTGATTCAGAGGCAACTGAAAAACTGTTTCTGGGTTTGCATAATTTATCTAGTTGGGAATCCCACTTCCTAACAGATACTATCCTTGGCTTAGCCATCAATTAACTAGAAAAGCATTAGCTTCTGTAAAGCTCCGTTTTCACAATTACAAAATCATAATCACAGTATCTATCCTGATAATTAAAGTTGGCAGAAAGTTCAAATGACATAAAATATAAAAGGAAAAAAGGATTTGCTGTATAATTAAAATGTGTATTTCCTCCAATCCCCACTCCCACTTCTAAACATAATTTTGTTGGAAAGATAAGACATGAAGCAAAGAGAACAATGCATGTCTACATAAGATACCTGCTAGGGAAAGATGAATGTAAGCTGGACTTGGCAGGGAAAGTTTGTTGCGACCAATTTCACATGGGTTCAAAAGGACTGATAAGACTTGAAAATGCAAATCCATTTTGTATGTCTAGATTTTATGGAGCATTTACTTAAACTGAGAACATCTACAGCTAAGAAGTTAACATTATGAATATCACTGTAGTCACTCAGTGACTCTAAAAAAATACGAAGATTTAAGGTATAATAAGGATCAAAGATTTGATTCAAAATGTCACAGCAGCAAAGGAAAAAATAAAGCTCAGTTCAGCATCTGCTATATTATCAGCCCAATTGGAACACAAGATAATTGGAAATCACTCAATATCAGTAAGGTTTGCTGAGGATCCACATCACTGTGTTCCCACTCAAGAGATCTGCTGTGTACCCAAGGCATGGAGGCAGTATTCCTAAAATCCACAGTGATGGAGGGCAGGAAAAATAAGACTACATTTTAGGTACAAGTCTCTGTAAATCACTTTTATTATAAAATCATTTTGTTCTGGAGTCAAAGGAGTGACAGTTGATTCTGTAATTTAAACCACAAAGACCACAGACAATCTAATGGAACTTAAATTGGAAAGCTGGGGCAAGATGTCACCCAGGTATCTGCTGACAACTTTCCAAACATTTTTATTAAAAACTCCCAGTTAATCTCTCCTGGTTCTCCTATTCCACAGAATCAATAAGAGAAGACATGAAAGTGAGACAGCAATCAAGGGACTGACCTAAGTAATCCACAAACTGAAACAGAAGAAAGACTACCTCTCCAAATTCTCAGTTTCTCCAATCTTTTGACTGAAATACAATTTCCAAAAGGGTTTACTACAGAATGATATTTCATTATGCCAAAGAACTCACCTCCTGTCCTGCCAGTTTTCTTGTTTCTTACTGGCCAGTGCTCATTTCAAGATCTACCATGCTACTGCTTTTTTAAAAAGTAAAGTTTTACCAAAGAACATCTGGCAATATTTGCAGTTATTTTGCACAGGAAACCCCCTCTCCCACAACAAAAAATTATCCAGTCCTAAACATCAATAGTGTCAAGAGTGGAAAACTCTTCTTTAGGCAATGATCTATTTACATACATACCCCAGGACCATATGAAGTCCTGAGAGGCTATTCCCCTAAACAACAAAATACATACTATTTTCTTTTTTTTTTTTTTTTTCTATTTAAAGAGAAAGAAACAAACAAACAAAAAAAATACATGGAGATAAAAAAGAGTAGAAATAATACAGAATTACAGAAAAATAAATGGTAAGAAATCGCCAGTTGATAAGTTACATATTGTCATCTTAGAAATAGCTGTTCAGGTTATAAAATTAAAGTATGTAAAATGACATTCAAATAGTGACTGCCAACAGTTCTGCTCAATGATCTAACAAAAACTTAGTAATATGGTTATCAGTCCTACACACTTGTTTTATATCTTAAAGAGGGTAAGATTAAACATATCAAAACAGAACAAAACAGTTTTAAAAAAAAACATTTAAAGAAATACAGATTTCAAAGCAAGTCCACTGGAGATCTTCACTGTCTATCTAATTGTCTCTAGTTTCTTCCAAATAGTTGTCCCCATCTTCATACACATTAAATACATACTGCATATTATAGATCTAATCAAATCATTACAGGATGATGAAGGCTTTTTAGGTCTTCAAGATCTGACATTGGGGAAGACAATAATAACTACCTTCGCATCTCTCATTCTCTTCATAGTAGCTGTCCTTATCTTTACATATGCTGATACTGAACTTAAGAGACTAGACTAATATCACTCTGATCAGTGAATAATAGTATTGCTAGATTTTATATCATAATGCTACAAAATTAGCATTGGGTTTCTTAGTGTCTCTTCTTCTTCAGAGTATCTGTTCATTACATATTGTATTATATAATCTGTTCCTGTAAATAGTTTTTTAAAAGAATCTTCTCATGCATGAATTTCTACAGGTATATCTATCCTCTCTGTATTACAGGAGAAAACAAATCATAACAAGACAGCAAAACAAATTCCTAAAAAAACATGCAGTGAAAAAGACACACAAGACCACAATATTAGGTGATCTACCGTAGTTACTGTGCTTTCTCTTGTTATTTTCCATAGTCTTATCCACATCATTGGGCTTACTATAGCTGAACATAGTATTACCTAGCTATTTTTATAATAACACAACTTTGAAAACATTGTAGGACTTGAGAGCTGTTAATAATTAATACTGGTATGGATATCTTTTACATCATGTCATCTTCAGAGTAGTTGCCTCTACTTTTAGGGTTGATACTATCAAGCATATCAGATTCAAATAAAATCAGCCAAGGCAAAACCACAGTCTTATGAATCGGATTCAAATAAGATCAGTCATAGTAAGACAAAATAAGTAGTACAGGATTTCAGCTCAAGTTAATAGGAAATTAAGGATAGTTACCATGGTATAACCTGCTATTTTTGGGTCAGATGTCTGTGCCCTCAAATCTGGTATGAGTGGACAGACCAGAACAAATTAAATTCAAACTAAACATGGCGATAATACGACTGTGACTTTTAAATCCTGATACACTATTAACAATTACCTCTGCCTTGTTTTGTAGTGTTTCAGAGCTGTCTATACTAAAGCCTATAGCTTACCGTCTCTGCCTCATGTCTGCTACTCCACTTTACTGCTATAATTTGTCCATCTTACTCCCTCTTTCCACTGTCTGTCCCGTTCATTGAGGTCTCTCTGCCACTGTTGCTGGAATGCTGGTATCCCTTCTTCTCTTTCTCTGGAATGTCCTTTAGCACTCTCTGTAGGGTTAGGTTGGTGGCCACGAACTACCATAGTTCCTCCTTGTCTTGGAAGCATCTTATTTCTCCATTAATTTTGAGAGAGAGTTTTGATGGGTATATGAGTCTTGGTTGCATATTATTGTCTTTCAGGACTTGGAATATTTCTCCCCATTCCCTTCTTGATTTAAGAGTTTGTGTTGATAAGTCTGTTGTTATTTTGATAATTTTCCCGTTGTAGGTAATCTGCTTGTTTTCTCTGGCTGCTTTTAATATTCTGTTCTTTTGGTGGATTTCTGGAATCTTGATTATTATATGTCTGGGTGTAGATCTGTTTTGGTTGTAGGTAGCTAGTGTTCTGTATGCCTCTTTTATCTGGATATCATTTCTTTTTGCTATACATGGGAATTTTTGCTTTAATATATCTGTGAATATTCTTTGTATTTCATTTTTGGTTGCTCCTGCTTCCTCACTCACATTCTTTATTCTTAAGTTATGTATCCTTTTGTCATCTTCTAGCCTTTGAATTGTTTCTTTCTGGTTCCTTATTATTTTTAAGAGGTCTTTTCTTTCATGATCATATATGTTAAATCTCTCTTCAAGTTTCAAAAGGCTGACTTTAGTTTCTGTCAAGGCATTTTGCCAGTGTTCAATGGAGTTTTTAGTTTCCTAGTAATTTCTTGGGATCTGTTTCATGTATTCTAAGTTATGTTTAAACTCTTCTTCAGAAGTATCTCTTTCTTTTCTGATTTCCTCAGTTCTTCCATCTGTGTTCTCTTGGGCGGGGCTTGTCATTTCTTTAATTAATCTCTTTATATCTTGCCTCACTTGGATCAGGAGTACCGCTTTAAATTCATCTATGAGGTCATGGAGGTATTTTTTTATTTCGGCTGATGCTGTGTTTCAGTATAGGATGGTTACTGTGCTTGTTCTCTTCAGTGTTTACTTCTCCTGGACTTATTTTCTCATGTTGGGCAGCTGGAGATTTTTTTTTTTATTTCTATCTCTTGTCATGTTTCTGGTTTCTTTCAGACTGGAGTGTTCTGGGGGTCTATGGCCCTCTCTGTATTGCTTAGGGCCTTTCAGAAGTGCGTTAACTTGAATTTTTGATGTCCTCCCCAATTTGCTGTTATCTGGGACAGGCAGGGATGCAGGGACGGTGCAGGCTAGCCTCCAGCCTCTGCTCCAGTCAATCTGCAAATTAGGCTGTACTTTGTGGGTGTCACAGAATCGTGACTATTTTGTATCTGCTTATTGGGTCCCAACCAGAGGCTTGGTTCAGCCCCAGCAGGTCCTGCCAGTTCTCTCTGTGCCAGAAGCAGCTGGCTAATGTCACCATGGCACATGGCTCTGCCCAAATCCCAGCTGTCCTCTTCCAGACCTCTCTGTGCCATGAGCGACTATGTAATGTCCCCGTGGCTGCAGGTCTGCCCAATTCCAAGATGTCCTCCACTAGTTCTATATCGCTGATGCCGATATGGCGCTGGGCTCTGCCCACTTTCAAGATGTCCTCCACCAGACCTCTCTACGCCAGTGTCTGATGTCACTGAGCCGCGCACTCTGCCCAACTCCAAGATGTCTTCCACCAGACTCTCCGTGTTATTGATGTCGCTGTGATGGAGGGCTATGCCCAATTTCAAGATGTCTTCCAGCCAGCCACAGCAGCCACGGGACCCAGTCCCCTAGTACTCACCAGGACTCAGTGCAGGTCTTCCTCTTGAGTCTACTTCACACTACTCCACTTGCCTTCACTGCGTTCCCGACACAGGTCAGAAAACTGCACGGTGCCTGGCTTCGGAACTCCGGAGCTTCTCACAATCTCCTCCGGCACAGCCGGGCAGCCCTGGCTGCTTGGCAGGGTCCCGGGTCTCAATTTCCAGCAGTCACCAAAAGCTAATACAGCTTTTCGTCTTGGGTCCACTGGTCAGTTTGCTGCATTAAAGGCACGGGATTTGCAGACTCCCGTTATCAGCCATGGCAGTCTCGACTTCTGCACTTAATGTCAACACTCATGGAGTCTGGTTTTCCCTTCTGAGAGGACGGCCATGTCCTTCCCAGCCTGAGCTTACATTTGGGGGGTGGGTTCTAATTCTAAGTCTGGCTTACTGCCTCTCTGCAGTGATTTCCTGTGATCACCTCTCAATTTTTGGAGGTTTCAGTCCACACTCAGTTGGCTCCAAGGCAGGCAGACATGGCTGGGCCACAGTTCATGGCGGCTGCAAACAGCAAGCAGGAACCAGCAAAGAACCAAAATACATACTATTTTCAAACACTCACAGAAGATCAAGATAGACCATATTCTAGGCCATAAAACAATTCTAATGAACTGAAAGGATTTAAATCCCATAAGTATATACTCTGACTATAATGATCACAAATGGAATTAAATTAGAAATTAATAACAGAAAGAACTCTGGGGAAATGCTCAACTATTTGGAAGCTAAACAAAACACATCTAAGTAACCTATGTGTCAGATAAAATCAAAAGAGAAATCAGAGACAGGCACAGTGGTACATGTACCTATAGTCTCTACCACTTGGAAAGCTGAGGTGGGAGGATTTCTTGAGCTCAGGAGTTCCAAAGCAGCCTGGGCAATGCAGTGAGAACCTGTATCTTTAAACTAAAAAGGGTGAGGGAGAGGACTATAAAATACTTGGAACTGAGAGAAAATAGAAACAAAACAAGCCACTAAAGTATCAATGAGATCAGATTTTTCTTAACCTCATCCAGGATAAAGCCAAAGTAAGGGGAGGGCAGAGTTATGATAAAGGAAGCTAGTCCTAGTAAGAAGTTAATACTTTAACTTAGGGCTTACGAACTCAAATGTCCATCAAGATCATGGGACTGAATTAAGAGGTTAAGCCAAAGATGTAAGACCACTGGGAGTCATCAGGATTGAGGCACATTAGACAACACATGGCTTTCCCAAAATCATTTAAATTTACCTTTTAAAAATACTATATTGGAAGGGCTGCCTAGAATGCATTAAGTCTGTAGGTTAATTCCTAGCACCACAGAACAAAAACAATAATGAGAAAAAAAACCAAAAAACCAATACCGCATTACACTGGGAAAAAAAAATCAACTCAAAAAACTTCTCTCTTCTACTAGAAGTGCAGCCTATCCAATAAAAATGTGTACAGCTTTTGGTTTTGTCATAAAAAATAAATTTACTAAAAGAAAATTAA